TTTTTTATAAGAGATTTGTATATATTTAGCTAATATTACACCTATTCTAGAAAACTCGAAGTTGGTGTGACGCCGTGCTCAGTCGGTTAGATGTTTAGATTTCCTTTTGTTTTGTTTTAGAGCAGAGTGAGAGCGGTGGGCTCCTGGGTAAATATTTTCTCAATACATACTTTTTGTTTGTGTTCGAACAAAGATAGTTCTTGTTTTCTTTCCAATTTTCATGTGATGATTGGTTTGGCGTAAATGTTCAAATGTAACCCAATATATGATCGCAAGGACAGTGTCTCTCAACTTTTATCAAGCTGCGCTTCAGCAGTGGTATCGAGAAAATCATATCTCAACTATTCTTTTCAGTTCCATCACAGACTTTCCCATTCCATAGCCAAACCAGTGCTGAAAATATCGCACCATTTGTCATATGCACATTCATTGTCTAACCCTCAAGCGGCACCCTGCACAATGAAAGAATGGTTCTCGAGCAATCCATAACGATATTGTTTTCCATGTGACCGTGTTTCCACTTTGGATTTGTTGGGCCGTATAGATCAACTGACAACTGACAACCAACAGATTAACTAATAGCAACTTTGGGTTCACGGCAGCGCTTATGGGTCAAGGATGTATGATTCTAGGAAAACCCGAGCTTTGGTGTCTTTGGACACTTTCCCACCTTACAGCCTTCGCACAGATCTGTTTCATGCCGTGGTGTAGTCTTGAGAGGAAATGGTGGTGGCTCCACGATCACGCCTGCCCATTTCTTGAGTCTGTATGCAATCCGATCAACGTATGATTTCTCATCCAGCTTGAAGCTCCCCAGGCAGTTGCAAGATTCGCAGCGTTGGTTGAACACGATAGCGTTGTACCCATTACGAGGATATCCTTGAATCCAGGTTGCTACCACTTTGCTGCTCCACCTTTTCTTCCTGCATGCGTTGTTGTCGCATGTAAACTTTCCCATAACACACGTTGTATGCTTGTTATTGAAATGAGCATCTATGTCGTTGTTGAACCATGTCGAGATTATCGAAGGCGCGACGGCTTCGGCGACACTCTGGTGCAATTCGGGGAATGTGAAGAAGGTCCTTGTCTCCTCTTGCCGCGTGTTGATATGCGCTTGATAGATTTTTGCCGCTACAATAGATGTCTGTAGATCCGGTATAGTAAGAGCTTGCATTCGGCTTTGAAGTACTGCGAATGGCAGGTCAAAGGTCGAGTTTGTGTGGGAAATGTTTTCTGTCACGGCGTGACCACTGCGCCGATCGTTGCGTATTGTTGAGCGGACATTAGAGGACGTCGAAAACTGCAAAGGGGCATAGGGGGCCAATGAAACAGGCGTGACGGAAGATAAGGCTGAGTCTTTTCTGGGTTTTCGGTGAGCTAGAGAGTTGTCTTGGTGCTGACCGAGTGCGTCTAGGCTACCAAAGGAGCGGTTGCATGGCTTACACCCAAAGGTTTCCGCATGCTTTGGTGAGTTCTCTTCATGTTGTTTGAGTGCTTTTCCGCTGCCGAAAGTGCGGTTGCACAACACACAAAGGCTCATTGCGTGTCCTGTTCAAATTTGTGGTGTATTTGTAGCTTGGGATTGCGGCTACGTGGGAAGTGCCGATGATTGCTGAGTTCAGCTTATATTACATGAACCGGAACGAGGTCAATATCTCGTGGAAGTCCTTTGCGACTTTGGAACCAATGGTACAGTGACACATCACGCGCTGTGGCTGCATCTGCGAGTTGATTTCTTGGAAGTGCACGCATAAACTGACGTGCAGTGCAACAAGTTCAAACTGCGCCCTACCCATACCAAGGCTTACTCTTTACAGGCAGTTATTATGGCGATTACGATCTGAGCGCCTGACCTCTGATCAGGCTGAAGATTTAGGTGCGGGGACGAGCGACTAAGCGGCCTGGTATGCAGGATGTCGTGTTAGTGCATATGCAGAGATCCTCCAAGAACGGCGCGTCAATGCGTGGTTGGGATACCTTTCATGAATGATCATGCACGAAACCAGTATAGGATGCCTTGAGGAAAATACTGCGTTCAAGATAAAGACTCTTTGTCGCTGACTTCAGCGCCAGTCCAAGGATTCACCCTCAGATTTTCCTAAGATCTATGAATGGTACCGCCTGAACTGCTTCAATTGCGATGGCTAAAAAGACCAAGGTCGCGAAAGCAGCCAAAGATGTGCATCCTCGATTGAAAACAAGGTGAAACAGGCTTCCTTCGTTCATGCAAGCACCCCATTTTAAAGCTGACTACATCAGCCTATATACGAGTCCATTCGTTACGTTACACTTTGGTCCTACCCATCAGAAATACTATCTCCCAGAAGTTCTGCTGCAAAAATTAGGGAACATCCCAAGTCGTGATCACTGGACTGGGGAGATTCACCTCGTAGATGTTGACGCAAGCATTGGTCACGTCTTAATCCACTTCTTGCACACGGGTGTCTATCAAACACTCAACGACGAAGATGTCGAGGGCGCTGACTACCCCCACAAAACTCTTGCCCGAAATGAGTTCCAGACAGCTTTGCTTGCTCTGGAAGCTGCTAAGAAGTATAGCGTGCATGGTCTCCAGGAAGTAGCACAAGTCGAGCTGGAGCGACGAGGCAGAGAAATTGGTTTACATGACGCCGTACACGCCATTCGAGAAGAGTCTATTGCAGGGGCTTCTGACGAAAATGCATGGCTTCGAGACTTCCTGTCAAAGAAAGTTCGATGGACCTTCGAACACGATCGTTCCATATTATCGGCACCAGAATTATTCGAAAACATTGAAAGCCCTACGTTGATGCAGTTACTGGCTCAAATCATCATTGGTCTGTACAGCGAGGAAGTAGACAAGTTGTGCAAAGGAAAAACTGCAACTGAGAAAATGTCAACGCTTGAGAAGAAAGAAGAGGACGACTTGTGGGGAGCATTTAGCTTTGGCGGCATCGCAAAGAACAAAAAGGAGAAAAATAAGGGTGCACTTGAGGAAGAGCCCCCGCCACCTGAGCCAGAGTCAGAGCCAGTTGTCAACGAGTCATCACATGCCAAAAAGGAGGATCCATGGAGTGGTGAATGGCGAAAACTAGAACCGGAGCTGGAACCTGAACCTCCAAAGGTGGAGGTAGATCCTTATGCGGGGCTTAGTAAATTACAGGCGAGGAAGCTAAAGATCAAGCTGGACAAAGAAGCGAAGTTGAAAGAAGAGGAAGATGCGAAGCGCCAGAAAGAAGAAGAGGAGGAGGCTGCTAAGATCATGCAACAGGAGGAAGAAGAGGCAGAAAAGATACGTCTAGAAGAGGAAGCCGAGTTGAAGAGGATAGAGGAAGAGGAAGCCGCCAGCGCCGTGTTGCAAGTAACAAGAAGGATTCTCTCCTTGATGAAGGACAGGGAGGCGAAGAAGCGTATGGCGTCCACGTCAGAAGGTAATGACATCGCGGGGCTTGGGGTCACGTGATGTGCCATCCCGCTAAG